AGGGTTTAGGGTTTAGGGGTAGGAACCTGATTAAGAAACCCTGGGTTTTAGGGTTTAGCGTTTAGGGGTAGGAACCTGATTAAGAAACCCTGGGTCCTTGTTAGGGCTCTTTATATGAATCCTATGATTTTGGGGTTATAGGGCCAGGGTTTCTTAATCAGGTTCCTACATTGGTAGTTCCTTTTTGGGATTACCTAATAAGATCCTAAACATAAGCCACAAAAAGGAACTACTATGGGGATGGGGCCTATGGGTAAGGCCCAGCATTAAAGGGCACGAGTGGGAGCTGTGCGTTGTTATTTTGTGCCAGGCATCTCCACTCTAAGACGCTAGCAGGACGAATCTGCTTCAAATCAGCAATTCTGCAAAAAAAACCCTTTGAGCTCAGTGACCATAGCAACCACAATATTCAGCATCATCTATCATTTGAAACGAGCACTTCAACAACCAAGAAGTCATAAGCAGCTGCCAGATCCGTTGCTGACCCAGGTATCGCAGAGGTCGATGTTGGAAAGGCAGCAGCAGATGATGAGGCCAACATGGGACAAAGTCGGTTCTGGTTCGGGATCCAAGATTCGGGTTTAGGGCTGCAGGGTTTGGGGGGTCGTGCTTTGGGCCAATTGGGGGTGTGGTGAGAATGGAGTGGTTGCAGACAGCTACAGCAAGAAGAGTCTTGTTAGTGTTGGGTCTGTTAGGTTTCGTTGGAGTACAGCATACAGCAAACGCAAATAAGACCTGCACGAGAACTGGCACCACCGCCGCCGCGACCACCAGCACCAGCAACCTTGCCACCACCACGAAACTCTGCTAAGAGTGATATGGGTAGTTGTCAAAATTATGGTCCTTTTGGGGTACCCTAAATAATAGGTGCCGTATTATAATAAGGACCAAAAAAGGGACCATAATTTCGACAACCACCCATATGATGGCTAGCGAACACACAGCCGTCGGGGAATGCTCTAGGTGATGCGGCTATCAAACACGATGGCGGCATAAACAATACCCGTAGCCGGTCGCCGCAGCAGCACCGTATACTAGTAGCGGCAGTACTGTCGCATTCGCAGCAGCAGGAACAGCAGCAGTAGCAGTACAGCTGCAGCTGTAGGAACGGCAGTAGCTGTCGTCCTGGTAGCAGCAGTAGCAGAAGTATGGGCCGTAGAGATGATGAGCATGGCATGGCCGATCTACCAGCCAACTGTCCAACGGTTTAGGCTTTAGGGTTTAGGATTTAGGCCTGTTCTGAATATGTTCTAGAGTATCATGTACTGCCTCTACGGACTTCAGGGACATGGACGAGCCGCTGACGGTTCTGGAAGGCTCCGTGAACAACCTGCAGCAGGCCAGTCCAGACTCTGCTCGTCGACAGGGTGTTCTTGTTTTCACGGGAGGGTTCAGATAGCGGCCTCAATAATTGCCTATAGTACTT